GGTTCATGAAACAGGCATTATTACTACCAACATTACCACCATAAGTGGAAGAGAGAAGGGCATTGTGAGGCCCAGGCAGGCAAATAGCAGGTTGCAGGGGCTTTCAAAGAGCACAGTAACCTTCATGTGCTCACCTGTGCTTCAGTCTGATCCATCTTCCAAGGTCCAGAGATTTGAGCAAGCCCCTGCTAAAAACTGACTAGACTCAGGGAGTCTCAGGATGACCAAACTCACCCGAGACCGAAGCTGATAGATACAGTATTCACTGACTATGAGAAAGCTTTCTAATAGTGTATGACTCCATTGATATAAAATGTTTACAATAACCAAATCCATAGAGACAGAGAGTAGATTTGTGGTTGCCAGGGGCAGGGAAAGTGGGTGACTAATAATGGGCATAGGATTTATTTTTAGTATAAAGAAAATGTTCTAAAATTATATAATTGTGACAATTGCACAACATTGTGAATATACTGAAACCTACTGAATTGTACACTTAAAAAGGTGAAATTGATACTATATGAACTATATTATAGTTTTTAAAAACTTCTTCAGGAACCATGTAGCCGGCTCCACCTTCTCTCCCTCATGCCAAATTCTGCCAAGGCCAAATCCATCAGTGTTTTCTCAGTGGGCACAAAAACACAGAAAGATGGAAGATTATACAATTTGAATGCTGAAAGGGGTCAGGTTCCAAGGCTGTCAAAAGGATAGACATGGCCGGGCTCGGTGTCTCAGCCTGTAATCCTAGCACTTTGGGAGGCCGAGGTGAGTGGATAGCCTGAGCCTGCGGGTTCGAGACCCACCTGGGCAACTTGGCGAGACCTCGTCTCTACAATAAATCAAAAATTAGCCGGGTGTGGTAGCGTGTGCCTGTAGTTCTGGCTACTTGGAAGGTTGAGGTGGAAGGATCGCTAGAGCCCAGCAGGTCGAGGCTGCGGTGGCCGGGAGCATGCCACTGCACTCCAGTCTGGCCAACAGAGTGAGACTCTAACTCAAAAAAAAAAAAAAGGATAGACATTTCTACTGGTCTAGACTGTGTTTACATGGTGTGACAGATACTGTTAGTTGCCTATTCAATATCCATTATCCCCACTGTTTTTTAAGAAAGCACAGTTTTGTGCTGGGTGGCAGTGAGTCCAACCCTACACAGGTCATGACTAGTCTATGGTCTCAAACTTTGCTGATAATAAAATTGCCTGGAGGCCTTGTTTTAAAAAAAAAAAAAAGAAATAAAGTTTAGACATAACATTGGCTGCTACCGTAGACCCAGCCAATCAGTTTCCAGAGATGAGCCCTGGTAATCCATAAATTTAACAAGCCCCCAGGTAACTCAAATCATCATCAGGGAAGTTTACGGAATACTAGTCTAAGCCATTGGTAGCAAGCATTCCTATGCCTAGCTTTCTTAGCATCCCTTGCAGCTAAGTGACCATGTGATTAATTCTGGTCAATAAGACCTAAACTAAAGCCTATTAGGACAATGTCTGGAAAAGCTATAATTATATAATAAACAAAGATATGTTCCCTTAGCTCCCAGCCCTTCTTCCTCTCTTGAATGGCACTATGATGATTGGGCTGCAGTAGTAACCCAAGCAAAAGGCCAATGAATGCACAGGGACATCAACTTTGCTACTGTTAAGTAGCTGAAATAATGCCAGTAACTGCCTACTTTTAATTTCATGTTAGATTAATAAAATAAACTCTGGGCTGTTTAACCCTGGTTAAACACAGGCTGTTTAACCATGGTTAATAAACTCTGGGCTGTTTAGTCAGGTGTTTGTCCCTTGTACTTAATGCATTCCTAACCACATGACAGATACTACCAACATTCACCTCTGTGACACACACTAGTCCATGCTCTATTCATAAGGACCTGTTGTTCATTCTGGAAAAGAGAAACCTTCCTCAGATATGTTAAGACAGTGATTGGGGTTAGTCAAGACCTGCATAAATGGCAGCCATCTGTCATTTTAGCAGGACCATGCCCACTTCCTTTTTAAAAATATCTATTTGATTTGTCATTTAACTCTTAGAGGAGTTTTGGGATATCTCATAGATATCCCTTGAGACAAGATAGGTTTTATTTTTCCTGAACAGAAGTATGTCTGAAAAACTACAACAAGGATTGACAAATTTTCTGTGCAAGAAACAAGATAGTTATATTTTAGACTTTTGGTCTGCATGGTCTTTATTGCAACTACTCAAATCTGTTGTTGTAGTCCCTAAACAGCCACAGACAATACAAAAATTAAAGGGCATGGCTATGTTCCAACACAACTTTACTTACAAAAATAGGCAGTGCCAGGATTAGGCTCATGAGCTATAGTTTGTCAACTCTTCAACAAAGTAGTCTTTGCTATGAAAAACTTGAAGAAAAAAAATGATTCTACTTTTAAAAATCAAACAGGCTATCACTACATCTGGTTTTTTTGGTGCATCCCAGCCATGTGAAAAACAAAACAAAACAATAAACTGGGAAAAGGTATAGTGGTATGCAGACAACTAACCTTGGTCAAAACCCATTCCAGTTATAAGTTTTTAGAAGCCAGGTATGGTGACTCATGCCTGTAATCCTAGCACTTTAGGAGGCCATGGCAGGAGAATTGCTTGAGCCTCAGAGTTTGAGACCAGGCTCGGCAACATAGCAAGATCTGGTCTCTACTGAAAATTTTAAAAATATAAAAAAAATTAGCTGGGTGTGGTGGCACACCTATAGTCCCACCTACTTGGGAGGCTGTGGCAGAAGAATCGTCTGAGCCCAGAAGGTTGGGGATGTGGTAAGCCATGATCATACCACTGCACTCCAGCCTGGGCAACAAGGTGAGATTCTTACTCAAAAAAAAAAAAAAGGAAAAAAGAAATAAGTCTTTAGAGAACCAAGATGATGCTTTATTTATTGGGTATCTACTGTCTATCAGGGGTTGTGGGAGGCATTTTCATATAAATGTTAATTTATCAAAGTTTAAGACCTCTACTTAGGATAGGTTGTCATAGGCTGAAAAGAGGCCATTTTGGTTGTATCAGAACAGTCATTTAGAAAAGACTTAAAAACTTGTATTAAAAAACTGTTCTTTATAATTACATTGAGCTGAACATAAAAGCCATTTAAATTTAAAAGTGTACATTTTTCCTATCCCTCCTCCTTCTCCTTTCCCAGTATGGCCTTGCCCGACTGACCAATTTAATCTAGTAAACAATTGCTGGTGCTAAAGAAGACACAGCCAACAAGCCAGATTACCTAATAATTAGGAGAGCAGTCCAAGGCTGGCAGAAGTGTGTCTGAAAGCTTGGAGTGGGCATTGACCACCTCCCCTCTGACTATGAATACGAGGACTTTGGACTGTTATAGCCAGGGCTTTGGGAATAGGAGATTGCTACAATTATGTTTTTAAACAATTTATAGCTATCATTTTAAATGTTGTGACTTTCCCTTCCTTCCAAATATTGCAATTGCCTGCCCCTTCCTGTAAAGATCATGTAAAAACATGTTGTAAATTACAAAATGTTATCTAAACTGTCAGCATGACCAGAAAATTCTGAATCACATCAGTGGTCACATATAAGAAATTGTTAATGTAAATATTGAGTCATGCTAAAATTGCATGTAGGCTTTGAACTCCGGGTGGGTGAAAGGCTATGAATTTTGGATATAAATACTGGAATGAATTTGTGTTGCTTGGCGTGGGTTTTTCAGTAAGGATGCTGACCCATCTTCCTCTAACCCGGTTTTAGAATTTAAACACTCCCTTTTTTTTCCAGACCCTGCCTCTCGTCTTTAATTGGCCACAAGAAATAGCAACTGAGTGTTCCTTGGACTGTTTCACGGTAACCTGGATAAGGGAGACAGCTCTAACTCACAAGTATCCTGTGACCCTGTCATGAATTTTAAGACATTTTAACAGCTATTCTAAAATATGAACAAAAGAAGAATGGAACTGAGTGGAGTGAAATACATAAAAGTGTTTCTTCCATTCAGATTTCATTGTTTTCTTAAATAGTTAATTTTTCACCTTAAGGCTTTTAAATCACTTTGCAGACATTTAGTTTTCATTCACCCAGAACATTAATATTTGGGAAGATTTATTTCCCCTTCTCATTTGAGAGCGTTTTACTTGTGTCTGATACACATAGACTTTTTTGGGAAAACTTTTTAATCCAAACTGCTCTCAATATGATGATGTGAGAATAACCCAAAGGGTAGAACATTGTGTTCATTTAAAAGCTAATATACCTATCTGAACTTCAAGAAGACAAGCTTTTGGCCTTGTTTCATCATTCACCACAAAGTTGTTAAGCCAACTATTTAGAATTAGCACTGAAAGGTAGAAGTGAAATCTCAAGAGGACCAGCCTCTGGCAGTTATATTTTCAGCCTCTGCAAAATATATTTTCTAAAGATGGCCACAGTGGTATTTTTGGCCCCACATGATTTTCCAAAACTCTGCTATTCCTCCCAAAACATCAGAATTTGCTTCCCTCCCCTTCCCTTGAACCTTGGCAGGACTCTGTGACGGCTTCAAAAAAGAAAAAGTCAACAGAAGTGCTATCCCATGACTTCAAAGGCTGGATTACAACGGTAATATGGCTTCCACCTAGCCTCCTCTCACTTTTAAGCAGCCACCATGCTGTGAGGAAGCCCAAACTAGCCCATATGGAGAGATCAAGTGGAGCATATCTAAGACCGCCAATGACAACCAGCATTAAGACATGTGAGAAACAAGACATGTGAGTGAACAGGCCCTGTTTTTGAGCCACCTCAGCTTATCTACAGTGGAACATAGCTAAAGTATTTCTTTTGAGCCCTGCATGAAATGCAGATTCATAAGAAAAATAAATGTTATTTGAACTCAATGAGTATCGGGTCTAGTAACTAGAACACAAATTCAAGATTGAATGCACATTAACAAATTTTACTTGAAGCAAAATAATCTGTAAATTTTGCTTCCCATTCAGATCCCTAAATACAGGCAGAAATCTCAAAAATATATATATACATACTTCTTCCAACAGTGACTTCCTGCTGCATGACGCTTATATACAGCTGCAGGGTCAGCTGGGGGGCTGAGCCCAGGAAAGCCTGGATCACCGATGCCCGGCTGAATGCAGATCGGTGAGTGAATAGCTTGCCTTCTGCCTGGCCGACCTCCCTCTCAATCTCCTCTGAGAGGCCATTTTTTGGCATCTGCCGCTTCTTGGTGATGCTGACATAAGGCTCTTCATTGTGGTCTGACTGAAAGTAGATGCAGAAGACTTCAAAACACCTGGAAACAAATGAGCAAGTCATAATAATTAGACACATAGAGGATTCTGACTCTGAGCACTGATCATGCTTACAATTAGCTTGATTCTCAAAGCCTGGACTTGGCTACTCTGGACTGTAGTCATTCCGCTCAATCATGCACTCCAAGGACCAGTTCTGAGCACACAGTACTCTTGAGGCCCTCCAGCAGGCCAAAGGAAATTAAGTGAGAATCAAATTGAGAAGCAATACCAAAGGTCACTGAGGTGAAAAACAAAACAAATAAAAACCTCTTTGAAAGTGGAAAGTGGATCAGACTCCCGAGTCACAGAAAAATGTTCCATTTCTCTTCCTGACACATAACAGCTGTACAACCCTGGGCAAGTCACTTACCCCCTGAGCATTTTCCTTCCATTATAAAGCAAATAAAGGTTTTAAAAAACAAAACAAACAAAAAAACCCTACCTACTTTGCCACATTGCTGTGAAAGATGGTAATAATACTGTGTGTGTGTGTGTGTACAAGGCTGGACCCCCCAAAACTGGAATTATATATATATTTTTGGAGGGCAGGCCCTTGTAGTACAGGCTTCCTCCACGAGGTAAGTGATCTAGGAGCCCATTGACATCAGTGTACCAGCTAGCATTGTTGTGAGAAGGTGCATTTGGCTTCAGTGAGTTTGTTTGTTTTTTTAAGAGTCTTTTTTTTTTCCTCTCTGCATTTTTTTTCAATGCATTCGCCAATTTCATGATGAGTGATTTACGAGTGCCAATATGGCACTTAGTGCTCAGCAGTTTTTGACCAAAAAAACGGCACAGCCCCTATGGCCCACCCTCTCTATTCACCCAATCTCGCCCCAAATAATTTTTGTTTGTTTCCCCAGATGAAAAAAATTCCTCAAAGGGAAACATTTTGCCCATGTAGAAGAGGTGAAACAAAAAATAGCAGAAGCCCTTAAAAGGCATCAAAATAGGTTCAAAAACTGTTTTGAGCAAAACATCTCGAAAGATGTATTGCATCAAACTGAGAGTACTTTGAAGGTAACAAATTTAAATATGTAAAAATAAATACTTTTTAAATAAATAAATTCCAGTTTTGGGGGAACCTCTCTCATAAATGTTCCACATCCAAAAGATGGCCCAAACCACCCCAGTTAAAGCAGAAGCTATAGTTGAGATTCCCCAGCACATGGCAGCTTGCCATCTAGCATTTCACTGGAAGACTACAACATATTATCTATCTCTCTGTTCTTATAAGGTCTTAAAGGGTAGGGCTAAAGTCAATCACGCCTGGAGGCCCGCCAGGTATATCTTATTTATGGAATTTCAAGTCTGCCCTAGGGATGGAGTCTTAACCAGTGACCTCTCCAGGCTGAGAGAATACCTGCCTTTTAAAATTGGGATTTCCCCTCTAAGTAATGATGAGGATGCTGAAGGGGAAAAGAATACTGATGGATGTCTGCAATTTACTTTGAAGTATGTACACACACACACACACACACACACACACATATGCACATGGATGGATGAATAGATGTGTGAAACAAAGTATTAGTTGTGGAATCTAGGTGGTGGGTACTTAGATGTTCACTGTAGAAGTCTTTCAAGTTTCCATCTGTATGTTTGAAATTTTTCATAATAAAATGCTGGAAAATGCTAGGAACAAGAAAAATGCTCATGGCTTTAGGTTTAAACATTAATACAGGACTTTTTCCTAAACACGTAATTTTATAACAACCTTCTGATGCTGCCAGAAGATTTTATGGCTTCATCTATTTTACTGAATGTTAATGTTATAACATTGACCTTCTACTCTCACCCTGAGGCGACTATGGAAACAAGAATACACATAGAATTTGAAATAATAACATAGGCTTCAGGTAAGAGAGGAAATGCAGAAACCCTTCTGTTGAGTACAAAGTGGACATATTCACATTTTGTGATTATTACCCCTGTTCATTTGTTTCTGGGAGAAAGAAGATGCATAACAGTGTGGTGGTGAGGAGGAGGTTGTCTACTACATTTTGTACACTGGGGTCAAGAACACCTTAATATATTACATTAAAACATGTAAAACTGCATGGACCAGTTTGTTCAGTTGAAAATAATGTCAATGAAGTTTAGGTCAAGAGTTCATGCCCAGCTAGTCTGACTGAATTTTCTCTGAGGGAAAACTCAAATCTATTACTAAGGATTTTATGAGGCCCAGTCACTTCACACTGTTGGACCAGTGATCACAACAGGGATTAGAAGATAAAATAAACTGATTATCATTTTTATTTTCAAGTATGTGATGAATGCAGATTCACTTTACTAAGTGTTTTGGGGAATGCAAAGACAGCTGAATACTCCTGCCTCATTTAGAGGTGTTCACAATCTAACTGGGACAATGAGACATAAACGTAAAAACAATAATAAATAATGAAAACGAATGTTTATATAGCATTTTTTGTTTATGAGTATTTTCTCTTACAGTGTCTCAATTAGAAAGAAATACCATTGAAAAAATTTAAATCACAGCATTATTTATAATAGCAAAATTCTGGAAATACTGCAAAGGTCCCCGAAAAAAAAGAATAATTAAAATAAATTATAATATATCTATTCAATGACATGTTATGTGGTCCCAAATATATATGAGTAAATACTAATATATACATATTTTTACTATAGTTGGTAAGCGATAAAAGCAAATTACAAAGAACATATAAAAAACTCTACCTTTTGTAAAAAGAAAATCATACATATATAAAAATATATACAAATACACACATAATATAAACAGTGAAATGTTTGAGCTGGCTCATACTGACTCGAGAGCTGATTATTAAATAGGAATTTTGTGAGATAGTTTTTAAACAGCTAACAGCTTGATCAGACATGATGAGATTACACACATTAGAAAAAACAGCAAACTGAAAATCAGGGCTTGTTTTCACTGAGAGATAATTTACAAGCATACCTGTAAAGATATTAGTAAAGATATACAGCAAAAACATTAAGAATTATTTTCTTTAGGCAATCGAATTAGAGGTTTTATTTTCTTCATGATGCATATTTTTCTGATTTATTGTAGAGATGAGGTCTCGCCAAGTTGCCCAGGCGGGTCTCGAACCCGCGAGCTCAGGCAATTCACTCACCTCAGCCTCCCAAAGCATGGGATTACAGACTGAGCCACCGAGCCTGACCTCTTCTGTTATTTCAGCCACAAATGTTTTGCTTGCATAATAAAATCAAGCTTAGAGTTATTTAAAGAAACAAACAAACAAAACACCAGGACATGCTAAGAGCTGAATGAATGAAATGAGAGTTCAGAAGAGAAAGCAATTCTCCTAATGCCAAAGAGGGAGCTGTATAAAACTGGAAACATTCCACAGAATTGTAGACAAAATGAAATTTCTGTGATAAATCAAGAGAAATGAATGGTCTCAAAATGAGCCAATGACACATGTTGTCCTAAAGCCCAGGTGGAACATCTCACAACCCACTATTTTTCTCAGGTAATACATTTGTTTTAGCACAGAGTTTTATGCATAGTAGTGTTTAATAAATTTGAGAAAGGTCCCACTACTTCCTGCCACTGCTGGTTAAGTGATAAGAAACAAACTACTATTTTGGGGATTCTGCAGGACTCATCTAAGTACTCCAAATCTGTCCTTTTTATTTATTTGTTTATTTATTTATTTGCTTGAGAGATTGTCTAAATCGAGAAATTCAGTCGTTTCATTAAAATAATTCGAGGTAGTTTTTCAGTATCATTTAGATTGGGGATCAGCAAACTTTTCTGTAAAGTATTTATAAAGAGTGAATTAACTCCAGTAAGAATGGCCATCATTAATAAAACAAAAACCAGCAGATGCTGGTGAGGATGCAGAGAAAAGGAAACGTTTCTATACTGTTCGTGGGAATGCAAACTAGTTCAACCTTTATGTGACGATTCTTTTTTTTTTTTGGCGATGATTTTTTTTTTTTCATTAATCTTAAAAGAACTAAAAATTGACCTTCATATGACTGAGCAATCCCCCTATTGGGAATACACCTGGAGGAACTCAAATCATTCTATAAAAAAGATACCTGCACATGCATGTTTATTGCAGCACTATTCACGACACCAAAAATACGGAACTGTGCTGCCTATTGAAACTGGACTGAATTTTAAAAATTTGGTATATATACACAATGGGATATTATGCAGCCATAAAGAAGGACAAAATTATCAACTTCATAGCAACTTGTATGGAGTAAGAGTCTATAATACTGTGATCTATCACAGAAACAAAGAACTGAATACCACACATTCTCACTCAAAGGTGGACCCTGAATATTTATCATAACACTATAAGAAAGGGATTGGCAGCAACCAGAAACTGCCAGGGGAGGGAGGAGGAGCACATAACATCAATAAGGGTGCCTGATCTCAAACCATGCAAAGTAGGGACCAAAGGGAGGCCCAAACTTTGCGGGATGTCCACTTGTATACCTAATCCTCAATTATACACCACATCTTTTAAAAAAAACAAGAGTGAATATTTCAGGCTTTGCAGGTCATGGTCTTTGTTGTAACTGCCCAACTCTGCCTCTGGAGTGAGAAAGCGTTTGTAGACAATACATAAACCAATGAACAAGGCTGTGTTCCTACAAAACTTTATTTACAAAAACAAGGGATGGGAGGATTTGCCCTGTAGGGCACAGTTTGCTGACCCTAATGTAGATAATCAGCAGGTTAATTCATAATTTTCACTTTATCTAATTCTCAAGCATCGTAGCTGAAGGAGTTTATTCCTTAGCTGATCCCATGCATATGGGTGCCAGCATAAATAACTTGTGATACCAGAGACCCTAATAAAATTACTTTTCCCCCAAGAAATACTATGATTCCCTATAAGCCACATTATCTTCATATGACACACATGCTGTGAGTTTATACAAGAATCAAAGTGATTAAATAGAGAACATTGTAAGATCTTTGAAGAGCTCCTTAGTCTCACTGAACTTCAATTCCCGAACTGTAAAAATAAGATAATGACAGTTAGCAATGGATGGAATTAAATATTGTATGCAAAAGCACTTTACAAATGAAAAAAAAATGCTCTTCAATTATACACTATTACTATTTTAAATTATTTTGAAACTTTATTATAGAGAGAAATACTATGGTAAATCCGTTTACAACGTTCTAGCAAGATATTTGGAACTACTTAGCCTTTATTTTATAAACCCAGATTTGTCATGTGCCGTTTTTCTCCAATTATAACAGTAATAAAAATGGGGGAATTCCTTGAACTTGTAGGTCATTTATATTTACTCCTCCCAATCAATTTATGAAAATTAGCACAACTGTGAAAGAATAACAGAATTGTTTTCAAAATTGTTTTCTTTTGTCAAGAGATGTTTTCCTCTCTCTGGTTTTTCCAGATTATCTATTATAATTGACAATAAGGTTTTCCTGAAAATTGTAAAAAATAAATTCAAGGCATTATCCAAAATTTACATCATTCAAACCCAAGGTTAATGTGGAAACAACCATACAAACCACAACTACGCTTTTAAATGCAAGACTGATATAAATGAAATATAGTGCTCTCCCCATGCCTCCCTAAAGAAAAAAAGAAGCAGAACCTAGTTAGTAGTGTTTAGTCCAGGATCATTCAAGTACTGTATGGCAGTTTATCAGGGCCACCATCCTGCACGAATTGAAACACAGCATCTACATAAGAACAACATGAGTTTGGCTAGTATCCACTCAAAGGTAAATGGTAAATAACTAAATGATCCAAAACCAGTTTAATGAAAAACATTACTAAATCCAACCCATAAGGAAGTAGGGAAGAAATATTAAAACTCTCCTTTATTTGAGGGAAAGAATTTTGATCTTTATATAAAGTTGATGTCTTAGAGTTAAAACAGAATCAAACAGTCAGCAGGAAGAAATTCCAGTAAGATATTAAGTCATACTAATACATAACAACAAATGCTTTCCTTTTCATCTTGAAGCTAAGCGATTTGGAACCACATTTTGTGTATCTCAGCTTTAAGATCATGGGTCCAATATCTCCTTGAAATAAATCAGCTGCATTAGAATCAGAGACTCCTTGTTGATGAAAGTAGGTTGCTTGTTTCGTATATTGTATTTTGTTTTTCCTTCAAGAAGACAATGACCCGTTCAGAACTCTCTGGAAATAGGTCTTTTTATAGTGTTGAAACTTTATATACAGCTGAGAAGTTACCTCTCAAAGCACCAAATATTTTCTTTGCTTAATAAAGTGAAAATAGCCGGGCTCAGTGGCTCAGCCTGTAATCCTGTGCCTTTGGGAGCCTGAGGTGAGTGGATTGCCTGAGCCCGCGGGTTCGAGACCCGCCTGGGCAGTGAGACCTCATCTCTACAATAAATCAAAAATTAGCCGGGCATGGTAGCGTGTGCCTGTAATTCCGGCTACTTGAAAGGCTGAGGCGGAAGGATCGCCAGAGCCCAGCAGGTCGAGGCTGCGGTGGCCGGGAGCGGCCACTGCACTCCAGTCTGGGCGACAGAGTGAGACTCCAACTCAAAAAAATAAAATAAAATAAAAATAAAGTTAAAATATTTTTATTGTAAAAACTGAAAAAATATATAAAACTACATAATAAAAGAGAAGATGCTATACTTTCTACATTATTCAGGAGGATATTAAAGTCACCCATAGCCCCATTATCTAGAAATTACCACTCTTAACATCTCAGTATATTTCCTTAAGCTCCGGTGTATACTTGTCATTCTGTTTTTAGTATCATATTATGTCATTAGCTTTGTCTTAGGTTACTCTTAGTGTTCAGAAACATTCTAAACAGCAGCAATGATAGGGTATTGTCATTTACTTGGTTAGCTATTTCAGTTGTGTTTATTAAGTTTTACCAAGAGGACCAAATTTTTTCTATTTAAAATAAAACTACAGATAATATGTACTACACACTCCTCTGCTTTCTTTCACAGAGAACAGAGAGCATAACTAGACTTCAAGTTATAGGAATGTGGTCTGGGGCCTCATTTTCCTCATCTATAAAACAGGGACAATTACATGTACTTTATACTGAGGATTCAATGAACGGAGCATATAAGTACATACCAAACCACCTAGCACAGGAAGTTTTTGAAAAATGTCAGTTCCCCTTTCTGTTACTTCACTTAAACATCATGAGTTTTCTTTTCACAGATGAAGTTGAGAAGTGATGGGTGTCTTACCCAAAATCAGATCACACAGAGTAGAATACAATCAAGACCACAGGGCTTAGTTGGCTAGGAGGGCACTAACTCTCTCCCTACTAAATGGCTCCATGTTGCAGGACTTTTTAAGGTCCCCCCCTTCCACTCCACCTCACTACCACCCTGTCCCACCACTTTTTTTTTTCACTGACTCCTCCCTAGCTATCAGGAAGTAAGTAATAACTTCTCACTCCTGCCAGTCGCACCTGTTTCTTTTCTTTTCTAGGATTCTGCAGCCACTGGAGACTGGGAAACTTGTTCACCAAGTTTGCTGTGCCAGTGTAGACTATCAGTCAATAGTCTGAGTGTCAGCTGGGATAGCTGACTTTGATGAGGTGCAAAAGTTTTATAACAGGACTCTAAAATCTATTTTGCTACTCGACTTTGAGTGTGTATGAAAGAGAGACTGATTTTTTGGTAGGAAAGGTTTCTGGCTAGCTGCATTTTCTGGCAGGTGAGGTGTCTCTGGCCTGTCCCTTCAGATTCCCGTCACCTACGTCTAAAGTCTAGTACTATACATTTATTTTGAATCCAGATAGACACCTTTTGTTTTGCTTTCCCAACAGAGATGAAAACTATGAAAATAACGCATTTTAAACTCCCTTCAAGGTCCTCAGATGAGCCAAAGTCTGTTTTACTACCATGCATTTCTGCTTGCTTGCTGTGTTAATAAAATATAATTTCCAGAAATGTCACCAATAATTTTTCTTCACTTAACACACAGCACGTTTTTGTCTTCATGGTGCATTGTGTACCAGTTTTAATGACTGTTTATAAATTAGGCAGGGCCACGGGACATTTTTACAACCCCATGTTTCCACACCCCATAATATTCATAACACCACCAAGAGAAAAGACGGAGAGAGGATTTCTAAACTTCCGTGTGAGAATTAACTATTCGTAAAGGCTTAGAACAGTGCCCGGCACACAGTAAGATCCGTGTGTTTGAAAAATTAAAATTAAATGGCCTATACACACTCTGGCCGCAACCGCAGCTTAGAACACACTCCCCAACGGTTTGGGACCACACAAGCCAATCCTACCGGAGTCCACTTGCCCTCAGAGAAAGCAACGTATTTCATGAGGATGGACCGCATGAAAATGCCATTTTTGTTGGTCAAATTCAGTTGAATGTTGGCAATTTCACATGATGAAACCTAACAGGAATGCAGCGCGCCCAGCTTTATTACCATTATGCCAAGATTCTGTCGCATTCCTGTAAATGGAACGGTGGGGCCGAGGGGCACAGCGGGCAGGCTTTGGGCCCGGCCACCTGTCCCTACCGGAAGGCGGCCCCCTCTGCTCGGGACTGTCGGGGTGACAGGCCGGGGGCTGCGGCCCGGGTGTGGCTCTGGGCTTCCGCACGCACCTGAAGAGAGGCCCGAATTGCAGCAGGTGCAGCAGCAGCACTAGCGGGCGGTCGCGGCTGAGGTCGCGGTGCACGAAGAGGAGCGTGAGCTGCACCAGCGCGCAGGGCAGCAGCGAGAAAAGCAGCGTCAGCGCCTGCCACATGCGGTCCCCGCCCGAGCGGTAGGTGCTGCTCAGGTAGAGCGCCGCCGTCGTCTCGGCCACGAACAGGAACACGGACGGCAGCACAGAGGCCGGGAATTTCATCTCCTCGCGTCAGCGGCGCGCACTGTGGGCGGACTCGGTGATGGTG